ATTAGTTCCAGCGGTACAAGGCCTACGGGTCCGGTGTACCTGTCTCCAGCAGCAGTAATCCCGTTGGTACCGCGGTCTTGACCCGGTAGTCTTGGATCAGAGCCCAGCGGTTCCATGAGTTTCATGATCACTGTCTGAGTGAATTTTCCCCCGGACCGGATCAAGTACTGTACCATGGGATAACAACATCGGCTTCAATGCCCCCTCTCCGCTACGAACCAGCAACCTTGCAAAAACATAATAGCTCTGGACTGCAGTGGCTGCACCGGTACCAGATCAACGCCAAGGTCGAACCACCGACCATATCAAAACAAAAGAGGCAGATTGGAACACACACCCCCCCGGGGCCGCGTCGTGCCGTCGTCAATTCAGTGTCTGTGGCCAGGAATAAGTGTGCCAGAATCGTGAAAACTCACACCGTGTCAACCTTGTAGCGTTAAATTGCGGCMTGTACCATCACCATACYTGGGYCGTACYTGTCCCAGCASCCTTACCWATTCCGAACCTGCAAACAAGAACCAGTCAGCAATGCCATGCCAGCCCGAACTAGCGGTCATTCCGGCCGTCTCGACAACGAATAGAAGTAGCCCGTACCGACACCGTCCCAATGAAAGTACTAAGCCAACTCCGAAACAGCAACCATGGTCACAGAATATAGCGCCCTGCCGGCTATGGCCCATGTCAATACCAAGCAGAACGTGCCGAACCTGAAATGCCACCCTGAATTTCAACAGCCTATGCCGTCGTCATACCAGTCCGATGTCGGATACCGTTTTGTGGATAATGTCTCGTCACTGCACCGAACCTTCCCTTTTATTCTGCCTCCTGAAATGACTTGCAAGTGGGTCGTGAAGGCACACGGGGATGCCGAACTCGTACAACCGTGCCATGTTAATTACGTACCTGTCCCGAACCTGATATAGAATGCCGCAACGTTTCCGGACTTCAAAACTAACTGCCGCCAAGGTTCCAAACCTGGAATAACTGTCGTAGTGGCCCCGGTCCTGGAAGTAAATCRCCGCAGCTGTCCCAAACCTGAAAATAGGTCACCGTAGTGAGACAGCTGTTACCGGGCCCATACCGTACCTGAAGCACATCAGGCACCGTAGGACGCAGCCACTCCGTAACAACCCTCGTATCCGTACCGAACCAAACACCATAGTCGACCCAAGGCAGCACCACCCCATGCTGTCCATCCGACTTCTGCTCTCATAATATCTCAACCGCGGTAATGTTAGTAATCAAGCAAACGCAATGCAGCGAACCTCGACCATCGGCAACAGTGAAAACTGTTAAAATCCGGGGAAACTGTTCAATCCGGGCCCTGAGCTGATGGCGGGTAATCGAGCCGAAATTAGGCCGATCTCCTAATAGTCATGGGTTTCCGTCCCCTTTCATCGTTTTTAATCGTTCTTCGTTTTCCTCAATTCTATTGTCTAAAAAAGTAAATTAACCGTAAATTCCCCAAAATTAAATTCCGAGAGAGTTTGGATAAATGGTCGAATCCCTTTTGTCTCTTTTCTCTTTTACCATTTTTAATCTTTTCCCATATTTTTAATTTCATTGTCGATTACATAAAATAACAAGGGTTTTCCTCCTAGAATTAAATGCCGTGAAAAATAAAGAAATAAGGAATATTATGTTTTTCTCTTCTCCCTTACTGGTCTTAATCCCTCTTCCCCATCTTTAATTATGGTACTAAAATAGACAAAAATTTAAGGCCTCATCACAGCCCCGCTCGTATGCAGCAGAAACGTTGTGGCGAGGTCAGTTCTCCCGATGTCTCTCCGCGGCAGGCCATTTCGGGTCTAGCCCTCTGAACGGCCAGAAATGACAGTCCCTAGACATGTCGAGTGCGGCCACCCATCTTGCCATCTTTGAGGATTACTCGCAAGGCTCAGTGCGCCCAAAATCAGGGGTGCCCTGAGTTCCCCTAATTTTTGCTGCCTGGTCATACGAGAGTACGATCAAATCACGGACTTGTCCCTGAGCCTAAGTCCCAAAACTGCAGATTTCAGGCAGCGCACTGCTTGTGGCCGCCTGACAGCGTGTCCGTCATCTCTTGGCTCCCAGTCCGGGTCCCCCGTCCTCCGACAGGGTGGCCACGGCGGAGCTTCCTCCTCCGTTGCCCCTGACCCGGCCATCTTGGTGACTGTCCACGCCCCTAGCATGACGGCCACCACGAGTTAGGCCCCCCCTCAGTCTACGGGCGCACCCGCCCAGATCCCGGTCCCTACGGCCACGGTACAACAACCCGCTACCATGGTCTCAACTTTTCCGGGTGCCCCGCTTCTCCCTCCCCTTTGCACGACCGCAGCGCCACCTGACTCTCCCCCCTCTGGGATGCCCCGCGCCGCTTGTGCGTCCACCCCCTCCACTCTTCCTCCTGCCACCCCTCGATCGACCTACGTTCGAAGTCTCGCGGACGAGATTGCCCAGCTCTGGGCGGACCTCGCCCTCTTATGCCTTCAGCCACCCCCACCCTCACAGGTGGCCACGCCTTCGGGCGCACCCCCTACCTCCTCTACCCTTCCTCCCATGCAGGCTCGCTTTCCGCGCCCTGCACCCTACACAACTCCTTCCTACCTTCATCCTACTCCCGCAGTTGCTGCGACCTCTTCTACCGCAGCACCCTCGCAGCTTGCCGCTGTTGCCACCGCCGCTCCCCCATGCGGCCCGGGCGCACAGTCAGCTGCACCCCTTTCTCCACGACCTGCACCGACTTACTCAGCCGTGGCACAGGCCTCCGCTCCTCGCTTGTCGGACATTGCCTTATATGACGGTACAGGCATACGCGTGTCTCGGTGGCTGCAGTCTGCCACCTGCACACTCCAGCTCATGGGCGCCACACCCGAGACGTGGGTGGGTCACCTCTCCACGCGCCTGCATGGCGGTCCTTTCGAGGCCTGGGAGGATTTCTATGCCTACTCCCTTCGTGAGGGTCGGACTCCGACCTTCGTGGATTTCCAGGCGTTCCTCGAGGATCGGTTCGGAGCCCGATACGACGTGACTGACGCCTTCGAGCGTGTCGTCACCACACGCTGGTCCGACTCTGGTGGCGCTACCGGCCTGGATCGCCACATCCAAGTCTTTCAGGATGCCCGCCTCGTTTGCGACATGGCGTTCCTCCCCGAGGCTGCCTTTATCGATCGTTTCTTGGCCAGCCTTCCGCTCGAGTACCGCTCCGAGCTATGGGGGTACGAGTTCACATCGGCCCTACAAGCTTACGAGGCCGCCAAGGACCACCAGCGAATGCGAGCCCGTCTTCACCCCGCCTCCTCCTCCCAGCCCCAGCGCACGGGCTATACCTCCTCCTCCTCTCACGGCACTTCCCAGCGCCGTTCCCCTCTCCGCGGTCGCCCCCGTCGTTCCACGCAGCAGGGCCGCCACTTCTCGTGCCGCTTCAGCGCGCTCGAGTATGGTGAGCAGGACACTGTTGCCCCACTGTCACCTGAGGGCGACCACAGTGACGACCTCGATCTCTGCGAGGCCGTCCACTATCACTTGGAGGACTTGACCCTCCCTACAGCTCAGCGCCTTCAACTCGCGCTCTCCGCCCTCTCTCAGGCACGCAACCGCCCTGGTCACGCTGGCGCGTCGCCTCCCGAGGTCCCTCAGGAGGACCTCCCTCATGGCTTCGTCCCTCCTCGAGGTGTCCTTTCCGCTGAGGAGCGCGTGGTTATTCTGGGCCGACGTGGGTGTTTGCGCTGCCGCTTGGACGGTCATACCTCCTCGCGGTGCCCTTACACTACCGCCCTCGACCGCCACTATGCTGATCTTTCTCGTCAGCGTCGTGCTCAGTCCCTCCCCGGCGCCTCACGTCCCCGCGGCGCCTCCTAGCCACATTGCAGTGTACACGTGCGCCCTCCTCAGTAGTGGGCTTCCCGACATCTCCGTCGCAGTTTGCCCCTCTCGCTACTAGAGTTGAGGTATCGTAGGACTCGACAGAGTGTACTCAGCCCTCTGTCGCAGTACCGTCTGCGCCTCCGCAG